ACATCCTGATAAACAAAGAAAAGATTGAAGTTGTCAAAGATTTCATTTTACTTGGATACATTATCAACCTCGTGGAAGCAGCAGTCAAGCAATCAAACAACACATTGCATGGGGTAAATCTGCCACACAGGACTTGTTTACGGTGTTAAAGAGCAAAGACTTCACTTTGAAGACTAAGATGCACTTGACCCAAGCCATAGTATCACCCCATATGCATGTGAAAACTGGACAATGAGTATGGACGACTGTGGTAGAATCCGTGCATTTGAACTATGGTGTTGGGAAAGACTCTTGAACATACTATGGAATGCCAAAAGAATGAGTAAATCGCTGTTGGGTGAAAGACAGCCAGAGTGAGTGTTCCTTAGACATGAAGGCAGTAAGACTTTGTCTCGCAGGCTTTGGACAGGTTATCAGGAGGGAGTAGTCCGTGGAGAAGGCCATCATGGTGGATAGATTGTCAGCAAAAGAGAGGAAGACTCTAATGAGAAGAACTGACACAGTGAGTACAGCGCTGGGCTCAAGTGAAGCAAAGATTGTGCGGATGCCAAAGGACCAGGCAGTAGTCCATTCTGTTGGCCACAGGGTTGCTGACTTGCAATTCATTCAAAGGCACCCACAAACAACAATATTGGTGTGGGTTTATATAACTTACATGAAATATGTTCTATATTATAAATCACATATAATATGTATAGAACTTAGAGTAATACAATCCAATATGAATGCCCACAAGAACTCTTGTGACTACGTAACTATTGTCTTCAACCTTGTGGTGGAGAAACACACCCAGAGATAGTGAATCACTCAAAGCCATGCCGTTAGCAGTAAGTTCTTGTGCTGGGATACAACCCCTCATCATCTCTCCACTCTTAAAGCACTGTGAGCTTGCAGTCAGCTGTGTCACCCACCTTGGTCTATGGGCCAGGAAGCAAGTTCAGAGGGATGGACCAACATGTCCAATGTGCCACTGTGAGCAAATGCAAGGAAGGCTGTGATCTTGGTTCTCAGCCCAATATTCTTGACAACGTGATGGGCCTAGAGATCTAGTACTCTTCGTTATCAAATGGATCCTTGTGAAGGAGGACTTGAAGCACTTGCTGATGAAGATCAAGGGATGTGGACTTCAGTATGGATGACACCTAATGTAAGGAAGAACATTAGGTTTCTTTCTTGTTCCTGAGGAATCACCTGTCCAGACCCTGGACCACAAGGACAGCACTGAAGAGCAACCTCCTTTTAGTGCCAACCTGTTGTTGTTGTTGTTGTTGTTGTTGTTGTTGTTGTTGTTGTTAGGGGCCATGGATTTTTCTCTGACCCATGGCAATCCTATGAACACAAGAACAAAACCCCGCACAGTCCTGCACCATCCTCAACATTGTTCCTATGCCTGAACCTATGAATGCAGCCACTGTGTCAATCCATCTTGTTCAGGGGCTTTTCTCTTCTAAACATGATGTCCTTCTCCAAGGACTGGTCTCTCCTGACAATAAGTCCAAAGTATGCAAACCAAGTCTTGCCATCTTTGCCTCTAGGGAGTACTCTGGCCTTGCTTTTTCCAATACAAATCGGTTAGTCCTTTTAGCAGTCCATAATACTTTCAATATACTTTGCCAGCACCACAATTCAGATGCATTGATTCATCTATAGTCTCCGTTATTCAATGCACAACTTTCACCTGCATGTGATGTGATGGAGAATACCATCGCTTGGGTCAGGTGCACCTTCGTCATCAAAGAGGTCTTGGGCAGCAGACTGCCCTAATGCAACTTGTCTTTTGATCTCTTGATGGCTACTTTGATGAGCACTGACTGTGGATCCAAGTGAGAGGAAATCCTTGACAACTGCAACCTTTGCTCCATTTTTCAGGATGTTGGTCCAGTTGTCAGGATGTTGTTCTTCCTTACATTAGCTTGTCATCCATACTGAAGTCCACATCCCTTGATCTTCATCAGCAAGTGCTTCAAGTCCTCCTTCACTCTCAGCAAGAAAGGTTGTGGCATCGGCATATCACAGGTTGTTAATAAGCCTCCCTCCAAACCTGCTGCTACACTCTGCTTCATATAATCCAGCTTCTCTGATGATTTGCTCGGCATATAGATTGAACAAGTATGCTAAGAGGATACCCCCATCGAACACCTTTCCTGATTTGAAACCATACAATATTCCCTTATGCATTCATACACCCGCCTCTTGAACTACGTACACGTTGTGATTGAGTGCAATGAAATGTTCCAGAATTCCCATTCTTCTCAAGGCTATCTACAGCCTATTATGGTCCACACAGTCAAATGCCATTGCATAGTCAATAAAACACAAGTCAACATCTTTCTGGTGTTCTCTGCTTTCAGCCAAGATACATCTGACATCAGCAAGGATATTCCTTGTTCCACGTCATCTTTGGAATCCGGAACTTCCAACAGTTCCCTGTCAATGTCCTGCTGCAAGTGTTATGGGATGACATTCTGCAAATTTTTACTTGTGTGCAATATCAGTATCTTGCTGTATTTTGAGCATTCTGTTGGGTCACCTTTCTTTGCAATGGGCACAAATATGGATCTCTTCCAGTCAGTTGGCCAGAAGCTGTCTTCCAAATTTCCTTGCCTAGCCTACTGAGTGCACCCAGTGCTTCTTCAGTTTCCTGAAACTCTTCAGTGGGTGGTCCAACAGTTCTGGGAGCCCACTTCTTCCTTCATCAGCATTGCTTCTTGCTCAGGAGATGCTGCCTGCTGAAAGGGTGGGCTGTCATGTGCCAACCTACATGGCCAGTAAAGGGGCTCAGTGACTTGTTCTTTCAGGATCTATCCATAAGTATCAAGTTCTTTGCTCTCGTTCATCCTCGAGGATCACTGTTCATTCCTTCCATGTGCGTTGGTGGCCAGATGTTGCACTGTGTCCCAGAGGTGTCACGTCAGCTGGTTAACTTTCCAAGATCAGTCTTAAAGGACATGTAGGTTTCTTCTCTGCCAAAGCTCCTTGTCTCTCAGTCACTTTCCCTCTGAAGTTGTGGGATTGGGCTCAAGTGATAAGAAAGAGAAATCCTAGCAACAGTCCTGCTCAGTGGGTTTTGGCCACTTTCTATAGAATGGGGAAATTTTAGGCTTTGAGGCTATATTCCCACCTCTGTGGATATGAAAATTGTATCTTCCTGTGCCAAACAAACTGGATAATGGCTACAATTAGCCAAATAACTCAAGAGGGAAGGAAACTATTCTTGTCTACGCAAATGGATATTTGGTTATTTGAGTTATTCAGCAATTTTTCTCAATCTACGAATGTATCACTTATTGTCAGTATAGCTCCATCTGATGTGAAATGAAAGCATTTCGATTTATTTCCCGACAAGATGAAAATGTTATAGAAAAGATAATATCATGGACTTATTTGATTGTTTTATTATTGTTCAGAAACCAAGATCTAGAAGAGACTTTAGAAGGCGATTGAAAGCCGTGATTTGTTTTTGAAGATTCTTTTTGGACAGTGGACCACTTTATCATATGAAATGTTAAGTTGAAACTAATTTAAAAACAGATGAAAATAGAGGCATGCAGGCTAAGATGGCGAGATGGTGAGGGAGCAGCAGCTCTATCTACCTGCTTGCCTTCCGCCCTCCTTTTCCCCATGGCAAGGAGGCTGAGCTAAAGAATCTTGGGACTCCTAGGAACACAGTTTAAACACTCCTGATCATGTTTGACCCACTTAGTTTGAGGTTGTTCGAATTGAATATCGGAACTCCTGCCTTCAGTGCAATGGTCTTTTAGGATGACCTTTTACATTTTGTTCTTGCGGTTTCTTTCTGTATAACAAACTAACTCAAACGGTAGTGGCTTAAAAGAATGGCAACTATTTATTGTCATCGATCTGTATTTGGGACAGGACCTATGAGAATGACTTGTCCCTATTCCCTAGTCCCCAGAGTCTTAGCTCGGGTACCTTGGAGGTTGGGGCTGATAGGGCGTCTCTTGATCTTGACGTCATATCAGGGATTCTCCATGGGACCTCTCCATGTGGTCTCTCTATCACAGCAGACTCGGGGAAACCAGGAGTCTTATGTGGGACTCAAGGTTCCAAGACAGCATGTTCTAAGAGGCCTGAAGAGAGCTGCACAGCTGCTTTTTGGCTTATCCTGAAAATTTCCAGAACTTCACTCCTACCACATCCTATTGGACACGGTGTCAGCCTTGCTTTGGTGTGGGAGGGCACTACACACAGGCAAAAATACCAGAAGTGGGAAGGATCGCTGGGAGAGGGGTTCATCTGGAAAGCTGGGTGCGCAATGTCCATCCTCTGGCATGACCTTTCGGAAATAGATGGTGCTATGATCTGGCCAGCGCTAAAGAGAGCAGAGGCGTCATTCTGCATGTCCTCAGATCATGAAAGCACTCTCATGGGCAAGAGTGATGGACTAGCTCTAGGACGTCACAGGAAACTAAGCCAAGACCCAAAACAAGGACGATCGATTCAGGTGACCATCAGGAAGAGCTTTCAAAGACAACAATCAACCAACGTGAGCCTTGGCTCCCGCTGTGAGGTAGTGGTTTTCCCATCACAAGGGAGGGCTGTCTCATTTCTTTTCTCACTGAAAGTGTCGGTGAAAATGACTAGGAGGGCGCTTGCATCTCCTTGCACACACAGCTTTCAGTTGCCATTGTGCCAATTCCAACCCGTGGTGACCCTTTGTGTGCAGAGTAAGACTGCGCCGTAGGGTTTTCCAAGTGGTGACCTTCAGAAGAATACCACCAGCTGTGTCTTCCAAGGTCCCACGAAGTGGATTTGACCAGCCAACCTTTTTGTTACTAGCTGACCGCCCGACCATTGGCTGGTACCACCCAGGGACAGCTCCACCCCTCCCCCACCCGGCCAAGGAGGGGTGCAGAAATACTAACTATGTGCATTTCTAAGAATCAAGATTTCATACAAATCTAATTCTTGTTTATTTGTCTTTTCTTTTTTTCCCCTTTTTGGACATTTCCTTCATCTGACTGCCCATCAATATATAGAAGAAATGCTTATTCCTACTCCTATTACTTGTAAGTATCGAGCTGGTTCACTTTGCTTTGTGCCCTGTGAGGGAGCCTGTAGCATGCTTTCCCTGCACCCACCCAGTGTCTGTTAGTCGCCCGTGCCTACTTCTGTCTAAGTCATCGGTAGCCCCAGAGTTTTTAGTTTGTGTAAATGTTTTCCATTTGAAAATGCACTGTCATGGTTCTTGTTTGTTGTGTTTCTGCCATCCTGGTCTCTGTCACCTTTGTGACTGCAGTCTTCTGGCTAGGACTCTCCCAATTCCAGCAAGAGAGGGGTCTCATCCTCCTGCAGGACTTAAATACAACAGCATCACAGATCTCAGGGCCCTTGGGGTTCATTGGGGTCTCCTTAGCCCGGGGGTGCCATGTTTTGAAAGGAATTCATTAGCTGGTTTTCCCCATTTCAGAAAGTCTCCAGGGAATCATGACTTTGTCTATAGCCAACCTCACAGGTGAGGAAAATATCCATCCAAGTGCTTTGTTCGGCGCTGGAATGATCTCAGTTTGATATTTAACAATAGCGACCCCATGCTATCGGCGTGTTATGTTGGACATGATCAGTGGTTAATTGCCTATCTTTCTTTTTTTTACTTGCTCAATAACAGTGATTCTTTTTTCTTATAATTAAGCCACACGTTTTCAAAGCATGAGAGTAAAGTGGAAAGACTCTAGATGAAAATAGAGTTAAAGAGTTAGAAAGTCCCTGAATTCATTGCACATGCTTAACGTTGGTTTTTCATCTTTGGCAACGGAGGTGCGGAGAAGTTATATGAACTTATCACATACCCAGTTATCAAAAGTGGAGGAGTATAATGCGGGACATCTGTTCCTATCAAACCCATTGCCCACCACTGCATGCCTTCCCCCATCCTCGGAGACACCAGCCCTTCAAGACAGGCCATGCCTGTGAGTGCTCATCTTCTGAAGTCTTTACAGGTGAGGATAGAATCAGCCAGAGAGTATCCAGCCCCTCTGCTCAGTGCTTGAGGACAAAGATCTAGAGGTCCAGGAAATAAACAGAGAATTCTGCTACTGCTACCACCATGTTATGCGCTCCCACTACCCACCCTGGAAATACCAGAAAATTCACATCATTTGTTCATTAATCTATTTGACAAGTATGTATCCAGCATGTCCACTATGTGCCAGACGCGGTGGATGGAGAGCTGACTAGAACTTTGAGCCCAGCCCTCAAGATGCTAAAGCCTATCGGAAAGACTAGTATAAAATCACATCACTGAAGTGTTGCCTGAGAGGTGCCTATGCATGCTATGGTATAGGAGTGCTCAGTGGAGTGGCTAACATTTTAATGAGGTGAAGGCTAATTGTCCGTGTGTTTAGAGATGGTGGAACCCATCAGAGTAATTGTGAGCATGGCACAGGACCGAGTGTTGTGCACAGGGTCGCTATGAGCCAGAACTGCCTTGACAGCGCTTCACACATACACACAACACATCACCCAATACTGGAGAATGGGGAGCAGGAGGAACAGCCTCCGCAAAGGCATGGAGTTGTGACAACGGTGGCATGGTGTTGGTGTGAGGGAAAAGGCTTCAGGGTCACAGAGCCCTGAGTCCAAGTGCCATCTCTAGCGTGAACCAGCTTACGCTGCCTTAAGCCAATTTCTAGACCCTTTGAAACTTAGTTTCTCTTAACTCTAAAAGGAGAGTAATCATGCTTAACTCCTAGATTTACTTGAAGAGGAATGCTGATGATTTTTTTTAAACTGCCTGGAACAAAATTGGCACTCATGAAATGTCATTTTTATTTCCTTTCCCTGGAAAGAAAGCAGAAGGAACTAGGGTGGTAATGGTAGCCCCAAGGAATTCTCTGGTCTCCCAGGGATTCTTCTTCCATTTTTTTTTTTCCTCCCAAGGATTCTTAAGGCATCCGTGTTCCACGGGGTCGGTAGGCATGTTAGGAAGGGATAATAACAAGACCTTGACAGAAGAGGCTCTCAGCTGGAGTCCCGAGTCTGCTGTCTGCACACTGTACATCCCTCAGAAAATGATTCACTCTTCTAGAGGGCTGCCTTTAGACACCAGCAACCAGGGACCAAGGAGTCTATGGGCAAGGGAATGAGTGTCCCTTCTAGACCATATTCTGGGTATTCAGGGAGGGCCCTGGAAGGCTCTGCTCAAACAGCAACAAGCCTGTATTAAGTCTCTTGGGCCCAAGGTATAGCCAAGGGTCAGCTCTCTGCAGGAGAGCACGGAGAGGGATTGAGCAGCAAAGGTGGGTTTGTATCTATCTGTGTGATGGGTCCCTGTGCCATTTGGAGCTGGGGGTGGGATCGAAGGGTGGCAAGTCACAGCCAAGGGTCACTCACTGTACTTTTACCCCCCACGCCACAAATATTAGAGGCCAGAAACTCAGCTTCATGGCCTATAAAATGGGAAACATGGGCCCAACTTAAGTGAGTGATAATGACCATTAGAGTCTGGGCAATAGGAAAGCCTGTGGCCTCTACAGAGATGCCTGGATTATTTAAACTTTGACAGCCTTTAGCTGTATCAGAGCACGGGATGGAAAATGGAAGTGTAGAGGCCATGGTTCTAAGGCATGGTCATTTGTGGGCTGATTCAAGCCGCTATGCTAATCACCTGGCTGTAGGTACCAACCCTTGCAGGGATGCTTCCATCATAGCAAATCACTACAACCATTTGATCCAACCTCACAAGCCAGAATTAATCAGCTTTCATTCATTCACTTGTTAAAAGTTAATGGAATACCTTCCCTGTGCCCAGCATTATGCCCGGTCCTGGAGACAGACCTAAAAACCAACCATGATGGCCCAGGCTCTCTGGGAGCTTACATGCTTATGTTCAAATGGTGCAATCATATAATGAATACGTGAATCTGGCACTTACAGTTTATGGTAAACGCCATGAAAAGAATGGAATCCCTATGGGACTAATCCCTATGCAACAGGCCCAGTCTTCAAACTTTGTACCATGCCCTGTGCTGGGCACTGGGGGAGTTCCCAGCAAAGAGTGTAACGACAGAATATGCAGATGCCATGGTAAATAAGGGTTTTCAATTGGTGCAGACTTGGAATTCTTGGTCACAGATTGCCAGAGGGTGAAACTCTTGCCTAGTGAAATGAAGAAGTATCTGGATGGGGCACGGGGTTTCCATAACAATATTCCTAATTTTATATTCAGCAAACCCCAAAGTACTTGATTGTCATGCTTTCTCTCTCACTGTAATTTTCTCTGTGACATTCTATCTACTGTAGAGAAGTCTTCGGTAGTTAGATATTCTCTTAAGCACCAGCCCGCCAATTACCAACTTCCTTCAAGCCCCTGCATGGCATCATCTAGACAGCTGGTGACATACAGCCACACCCTGAGCTCTCAGGACAGTCTGCTCTGGTTGGTACCACCATCCCTATTTAATAGAAAGAACAGGACTCTAAAGAAGACCATGCATCCTTCGAAAATCCACCTAGTAGTAGGAGAGAAGAAGAATGGCCTATCTTGGAGACAGAGATACACAGAAGGGGAAGCGGTTTCGAGTAAAGGAGATGCAAATGAGTCCAGATAGGTTGGGCTGAGGGTACTGGTGGGGCTCCCAAGGAAAACAGAGTGCTGTGAGAACTTGGAGTTGCAGAGGTAGAGAGGTGTGGGTGGGAATGGATCACAGCCTTCCTCAAAGATGGCAGGGGAGTGGGGCGGGTGGGGGGGTGGGCGGGGGACCGGGAGCAAATGATATTAACCCTGGACCAAGAGGTGAAGGAGATCAGAAAGCTAAGAACTGAGGTCCCAGAATTAACGATGCTTAAAGACTCAGAGGATGAGAAGAGTTGGCGAAACTGACAGTGAGAGAAGAGGATAACTGGAAGAGCCAAAGGGAGGAGGCCATTGTGTACGGGGGCATGGGCTTGCTGCAGATAACACGGAGGGACCGAGGGGGAGGCCATGGACAAAGGAAACCAGCTAAATGGGAGCCCTGAAGAGGAATACTTCACGTAAAATATTGAGCACTGAAACAGAGGCGAAGAAGAGAATGGCCTCTTGAAGGGGCAGGGAGTCTTGGGCACATGTCTGCGTAAATGGACAAGCCTATGCAGAGAGAATGTACTGACAATGTTGGAGGTGGAGGTGACGCCGGACGGGAAGATCTGGAGGCAAAGTGTTTAAGGGCAGGGGAGCCTAGGAGGAGGGGGCAAGGGGTGGGTCTTGTGAGACCATAGGATTGAGAAAGGAACAAACAGGACAGGAGGCCTTCCGTGGTCTCCAGATTCATAGCTCCATTCATCTAAGAGCTAAGGGTACAGCCTGTGTGCTTGCCTTAAACCCTCACTACTCCAAGCGGGGTACTTGGATCTGAGGTCCTAGCATCCCCCGGGAGCAGGTTGGAAGGCAGCGTCTCAGACCCCATCCAGACCTCCTGAATCATCAGTATCTGTGATGTGACACGATTTCCAAGGGATCTGTGAGCACATGAAAGTGTGAGAAGCCCTGACTGAATCCAACTCTTAGTTGTGCCATCCATACAGTCAGGAAGTTTACACCCTCCTTGATCCAGCCAGTTTCTCCGAAAGCACCCCCCTCCGTGAATTTTGGTGAAATTAAACACTTCTAATGCACTTTGACTGAATAATTTTTTTCAACTAAAGCCCTGTATAGTCATTGTGGTAGTTATATAATCATTTGTCAATTTGAGGGGATTAAGAGTGAAGGGGTGGAGTCTAGCCTGTCAATCAGGTCATAGCCAAGGAGGCCTCTGTGTGGCCTTCTCTGAGAATTCTGGGAACTCCTATATTCCTCCTTAGAGGCAAGAGACACACACACTCTCTCTGTTCACTCCGTGGGAGACATTGCAGCTGACAAGACACATCGAGCTACAGTAGCGCCCTGAGCTGGAGGAGCCACGTGGAGACCACTGCCAGTGCTGAGATGCTTGCAATGCCACTGGATCCACAAGACTTACCATCCACTGGCCTGTGATCATCCTGCATTCAGCATCGTTGCAGGTGTTTCGTAAGTCAGAAGAGGGCTTTA